TCTGGACATAATCCAACGAGTGAATATATCACTGCCTCAAAAGAAAATACATACTAAGAAGTTGTGGTTGTACTGATAAATCATCAGTTACCTCCCCTTAAGATCCAGGAGGTATAAAAAGCACACTGTATAATCCGTCAGTAGACAAGTATTCAGAGTAAAGTGCAATAAAGCTTTGATATAAGTTTATTCACTGGTTCTGTTTTTACTACAGTGGTCTTTCAAGCACTGAGGTGTATAGGATTCTGTCCCTCCAGGTGATGCCCAAAATATGTCTCAAGCAGTGGAAGTGAAAGATATTCAGTTTCCGCTCTTAATGCGTGTAAGGGGTCAAGGCTTCACTACTTGATGCATTACAAAATATAGGTTTTAAAAACTCGTTTTAAATAATCCATGTGTCTTGTTTGTCCTCAATTTAATCGCTCAACGTCTCTTTCCTTCCAGTTGTTAATTGTTATTGCCTTCCACAAATAACAATTACTGATATCTGGAAAGGCTTGAGATAGGCTTGAGAATAAATTCATGAATCCAAATGATGACACCTTGTAAATATGAACGTAGCTGAAGGCATCTCACCCAAAATTAAATGTACCTAAACATATCAAATGACATGAAATAAAGTATAACACCTCTAAACCGAACATCCGAAATGTTTGGCATTGAGGGCACTTTTCGGATTCAAGGAACAAAAGGCAGCTGTGGTTTAAAATTTTTTATTAAGTTTTAGAGTTTAGGATACAAAAGGTAGTTTGTTACGTTGATTCATTTTTATATAAAGTGTAGATTGAATACATAAATGTACAAAAAATAATTGACAAACAATAGTAATGAAAAAAATGTGCGCAAAACAAATATTGTAAATTGTGAAAAACTAAGACACTTTATGAAATGTTTAAAAATTTATGAAATATCTTATTCAAAAACAATTACAATCTCTAAAGGAAAACAAAAATAAAGATATATAGTACAACTCCTGTAAACCGAACATCCGTGATGTTTGGTATTAAGGGTTCTGTTCTGATTCGAGGAAGAAAAGGCTTCATATTTATGTCAATACAAAAGTTCTAATTTGAAGATGAATTCGAATTCGAGCAAGTCTAATTTGAGGAAGTCTAGATTATGCTATGTTCAGATTTAGGGAGTTCTATTGTATTTAAATTTTCCTACTTGCTTAATTAGAGTTCTCTGTTTTTGTTTTTTTTCCCCATGATACTGTTTCATCATCACTTTGATCGTCTAATACAGACTCACTACTACTGCAACTATCACTATTAACACTATCTTGAATACTGTCAAGTTCGGGTTTGAAGATAAGTCCAAATTCGAGGAAGTCTAATTTGAGGAAGTCCAGATTATACTATGTTCGGATTTGGGGAGTTGTAGTGTACCTATATTTGAAAATTTTGTTTTTCAAGTTTCAACAGTTTATGAACGCCACTCATTAGATTGGAATTAGACGCTATCAAACTTTTATAGTAAACTATTTATTATTGCCAATAAATAAATGTTTGTAGTTTATGCTTCTTCTTTGTCTTTTATGTGCTGTATCCCTTCAGGGCGTGGGCGATCATAGCTCTCCACAATTTCCTGTCCTTTGTAGCTGTTAGTAAATTTTGTCTTTCCACTATTTCTCCTAATCCCTGTTCTGCCAACCATTTACACAAGCATGTTATTCGCTGCTTTCCTCTGTTCCTCTTGCCTTCAATATGTCATGTGAGTGTTGAATTCACCAATCCCATTTTCCTCATTATTTGTCTCTTTCTGATTCTAGGTATCGTTTGGGTTTCCATTTTCCTTAATATTTTTTTATTACTCACATGTTCAGCACATGATATTCACATCATCCTTCTGTAGAACCAAATTTTGTTACCTCAAGTCTCTTCTTCATCTGCGAGTAGATTGCCCAGCATTCACTGCCATATTACATTATATTGGACAACCAATATTACATAACAGTTCAGCTCCCTTTTTATTGTTTCTTACATAATTTTTCTGTTTCTTAATATTTTGCTTAGCTTTTAAAAGGCACCTTTCACTATTTCATTGAGCCTTCGGATTTCGGTGTCAGATTTTCTGTCCTCTGCTAAAACACTTCTTATATATTTAAATTTTTGTACTTGCTTGATTTTGGTGCCTCCAATTTATAGTTTACGTCTTGGGCTGTTCCTTTTGCTGACAATCATACATTGTTTTCTTGCAATTGATAGTTAGTCCTTTCTTCTCGCTTTTCTTTACTACCATCTGATGGACTGCCTGTAGTTTCCTTTCTGTGTCAACACTGTGTCATTTGTTACATTTGTTTTTATTTTTAGGGCACATGTCTATGTCTCTTTAGGTTATAGGTGATCACGATTCTCCACAGCTTCTTTTCATGTATATCTTTTTTAAAATAAAATTGTAAATGATATGTCTCTTCAGATATCATAGCTCTTGAATATCTGTGAATTGTCATGATTTCTTGGGAGAGATTAATTTTTAAATTAAATTCTAAATGCCATTTCCCTTAGCATGTAGATGATTATGGCTCCCCGCAGCTTTCTTCTTGAATATATCTGAATTGCCATGCATTCTACGAAAAGATAGTGGAGTGTTTTTCTGTAGACTTTTCTACGTTTTAGTATGCAGAATTTTCCTTAAAATGATTGTCTGCCAGAGAGCCCAGAGTAACTTGATATTTAACCCATAGCTGGTGGGAGAAAAGATAGATTCAGGCCTTTCACAATTTTTCAATTTAATGACGGCAAAATGAAAAATCGCCCATTGTTCTACAGCAGATTTCGGTCGTTGTGTGATATTCGGATATTTTAATGTCATTATTTGTCATTTGTTTTAATGTCATTATTTGCAGAATAATACAAGAAGGTTAGTTCTTTCTAGGCTAGTCATTGTGGAATTACCCTCACACTTGTTTGCCAAGGGACGTTTCTTAACGCTCACTAGGTGGTGTTTTATAAAGTTTTATAAAAAGAAAAGAGATAAACACTCTTTCTCTTTCTTTCTCTCTTCAACCACAGGATGCCTTACTACCAAGACGTGACTAATTTCCCCTTTGAGGTGACTTCTCCCTCGCCGACCCCGGGCAAACTACTTAGCGCAACGGCGCTCACGCGCACACACACATACACACTAGCCTAGCGAGCGTTAAGAGAAGTAAACTTATAAATAATATATATATATATATATATATATATATATATATATATATATATATATATATATATATATGTGTGTGTGTGTGTGTTAAAAATAGGGTATGTAATACAGACAAAGTTTCAAATTATTGACAATTGGAAAACGTTCATGAAAGTATGTTTCGAAATATATCTGATTATGCATTTCGCCATTGAGATTTCATCAGATCAAATTTTAATTTCGCTGTTTATTTGATGAAGCCTTTTAAAGGGCGAGATTCATAATTAGATATATTTCGAAACATACTTTCATGAACGTTTTCCAACTGTCAATTTGAATTTATATATATATATATATATATATATATATATATATATTATTAATTTTTTTTTCTTTTCAGGTACAGAAATGCCATTCACTGGAAAAGAAAAAGGTGTTTTATGTGTTAACCCATGCTCAAACACAGTCGAACAAATTTATTTGTGAGATAATTCATTAAAAAGGCACCAATAGCAATGCAGATTTGGACATAGCACAAGGAAGTCTGTCTGTGTTGGACAAAGAATCTGGACAACCACTAGTAGCGGAAAGGATGGTTCAGTGCTGCGCATATTGAAAACTTATGAAAACTTGTGATATCTTCCTGAAAGCCTTCTCTTTCTGTTCCACTCCCAGTAACCCCTGTGTCTTAGCGGCATTATCGCCATGCTTATATATATATATATATATATATATATATATATATATATATATATATATATATTTAAAAGAGTACAGAAATAAATTGTTTATCAAAATCTTCCTTGTAACATGCTGAACCAGATTACATGTGCTTTTGTAAGGGTCTAAATATTTTAGTTTTACAGTTTACACAAAAATCTTACGATTCCTTTTTTAATATATTTATCTAAACAAGGAGAAAAATCAAATTAAATTGTAATGGATATTGTTATAATAAATTAAATAACGTCTGGTTTAACTATAAATATTATTATTAATAATATTGTTCACCATGAATTAGTACATTTATTGTTATTTTGATAAAATAGACGGGCAACGCCGGGTAGCCCTGATAGTAGTTCAAATAAAGGTCGTTTATTGTTAAACCAGATTTTCATTTGATTTGTGAATTTTCAGTATCAAGTGTAACCTACTCAGCAGGCAATGGCGGACTGGGCCGCAAACTTCTCGGGGAAACCTTGTAAAATGCCCCAGTCAAAAGGACCCATTTAATCCCAAAACGTAGTCAAAGGAATTAAATAAAATTAAATTTAGGCAAATAAAATGTTAGATCTATTCAATATTGTTTTATTTGTGTTAATGCATGCATAATACAAAGACTAAAAAATGTTAGTAATTTTATAATAAAAATGAAAATTTCAATCATAGAACAACCAATTCGAGTAACTTACAAAGCAAAATTTGGAAATGTTTTCAAATTTAATTAAAATTGGAATTGTGTACATTTTTAATGTGTGTACATATCACCCGCATAAATTATAGAAAGTAAATCTTTTTCCATGATCATCAACATAAAAAATTTCAAGTAGATTTTATCTATTTTCTACCGAAAGAAAATATAGCATAAAAAAAGCCTTATTTAAATCTTCGCAGCTTCTACGCAATAGTTTTCTTTTTAGTTTTTACTTTTTCGATTATTTCTAAGGTGATGGACCATCACTTTGGGGACCAGTCCGCCAGTGTCAGCAGGAGAAATAAAACTTTAAATTATATGGCGTGCTAATTCTGAAAGATGGTTTTTTAAAAGAGATTTTTTTTACAACATTTAAAAATGTTTTCAAGGTATTGTGGCGATATCGTATATTCCAAGTATTAACCAACAGAAATCAGAATCAATAATATTGATTCTATATTTTTGTCTTGGGTATAAAGTTATCATCTGATTCTGCCGCCACCGGAGCGGATGGCTCTAGGGCTTTTTTCACCACAATAGCCAATTGATCAATCTGAATCTGGATTTGCTTTGCCATTTGGATTTGAGACTCAGCCAACTTTGTTTGTTCCTCTTGCACCTTCCTGATCTCCACTTCTCGAGAGTTCACGTTGTTTACATCTCCTTCGACTGCGTTAATGTTGTTCCGCAACTCTTCAATCTTCTTCACCAGTTTCGACCCCATGTTTTCGATCAGCCGCCTCATCACATCATCGGAGCCAGCTACAAAGAAAGAAAGAAAGAAAGAAAGAAAGAAAGAAAGAAAGAAAGAACCCTTTCTCCTGTTTATAAAACGCTTGGTTTACAAGCTATTTTAGTGACATCCAATTACTGCAATTCATCCAAGATCCATAGCTGATTATTTCGAAATTTGGTCGGTGGATCCCGAGTCATAATAGCAGCGTGTCGGATTCAGTGTAATATTTTCATTTGCGGAATTACCTCACTTTGTTAGGAACTTCATTTACCACTCGCTATGCGGCATTGTATAAAGAAGTATAATAAATAAGGACTCAAACTCTCGTTCTGCTTTTTCGTTCTTTATCCAGAAGATACTGTAGTAACAAAACGTGTCTCGTTTCCTCTCTAGGGGAGCTTAATCCCCAGACATACGATGTGTCGCATGGCGAACCACAGGATTTTTTCTCCTTCTCTGATGTATGTTGTTCTGTATATATAAAAGAAAAGACAACCCATGTATGTATTGAATTCATTCATTGTGAAATTTTTCAACCGAATTCAATGACATTCTATTTTTTAAATTTAAATGTTCATCCTATCTCCCAGCAAATACTGTACTGAATAATAGCAAAGTTTATCTCAGACAGCACCCAGGAAGGCTGTAGAGCCCACCGGCCCAAATGTAATGGTCCAAGCAAAGATGAGGATATTAGTCTGAATAATGTGTGGAATAGCGACTACGTTAAATTAGAGTTACCCAGACAAAAGTGTTTGCTAAGTTAAGGTGAAAACAGTTTTAAAATCAATTTCATTGATATTTTTCCGTTTTAGAAATTTAAGCATTTTGTAACAAATTAATTTTTAGATATTTTTAAAAGATTATTTATTTAATTTCAGAAATCTTACTTGTAAATAATATTTAATAACAAACAAAATTTATTTACATTATTTACACTTGAAGTATTGTCGCCATTGTTGTCATCACAACGTTTCAGCCGTTCTAGACTTTGGCCTTCACAAGGTGCTTGTCGATCAGAGAATTTTGAACTGAACCCTTTATTTAATCTACAAGAGTAGATTATTTCATTCTACTGAGATATCACTTCTAGTTTCTATTTAACAATGGTAATAGTAATATTAGCCGTTTAAGGAAATATTTGGTATTCATTGACCAAGAAGCCAGTACTATTTTCGGTTGAAATTTATCAAAGCTTTCGCTTAAACGATTTTCAAGAAAATAGCGAGAAGTTCCATTCAGACAACTTCTTCTCGTGAAGCACAATGGAACAAACTCCCAAGATGGCGTTTCCCCCAATCACTACAATCTTAATCTGTTCATGTCTAGAGTTAAGCGTTATCTTCCCCTCCTATCCATGTAAACTACCCCTTAAAGTAACCCTCTACTTCGAGTGGCCCCCAGGCCTTGTAGATAGTGAACCTTACTGTAAAAAACAAACAAAACAAACCTAATATGAGAACGCTGCTTGTCACACTTGAGGCTTTTTTTTTCTTTCTACTGCTGGAAATAGGGCGAGCAATAACTCGGTGGTACTAAATAGGAACTAGACGAGATATCTCGTGACATGGTGGACAGAACGAGAACACTATAATCTGTAGATTAAATAAAAGGTTCAGTTCGTAATTCCCTGAAGGTTAACCGGGTTGACAAGCATCTTTTGAAGGCCGGAGACCGTTGTGCAACAGTCGAAACGTTGTGATAAAAACGATAAAGATGATGACATTAGTTCTAGTGTAAATATTGATAAATCCTCCTCTCAGAAATTCACACAGAAACTCCCCAGAATATTTTCGATTAAATTAATATATTGTTATGCCATTAAATTAATATATCTTTATGCCATTAAATAACGAAATATTGACGAAGTGATTAATTAAGAATAAACTAAATTTTGCTTGTAATCATCTTTTAATTGTATTCTTCTTCTTTTATGTACCGTGTCCCTTCAGGACGTAGGCGATCATGGCTCTCCACTTCTTCCTATCCCTTGTAGCTCTCAATATGTTTTCTCCCCTTGCTACTTCTCCCAAATCCTGTTCTGTCATCCACTTGCTAGGTAAGTCCCGCGTTGCTTTCCCTTGTCTATCTTCCCCTCTATCCGCCCTGTGGGTATTAGATTCTCCAAGCCCCCCCTTTCTCATTACGTATCCCAGAAATTTCAGCTGTCTCTTCCTGATATTAAGTATATGTATTTCAGCGTCGCACTTACCGTCCTCTGTTAGAAAACTTCCCAGATATTTAAATTTCCGCGCCTACTTGATTTTAGTGCCCCCGACCTGTAAATCGCATTTCGGGCTCCTCCTTTTACTGATGACCATGCATTCTGTCTTCTTGTAGTTTGTGCTTAGTCCCTTCTTCTTGCTCTTCTTCGCTCTTCTTCTGCAGGGGGTTTTGTAATTTCTTTTCCGTGTCCGCTATCAGTACTGTGTCATCTGCATATCTTAGGTATTTAAGATTATGGCCGCCAATGACGAATCCCAGTATTAGTGGTTCTTAATTCTCCAGTCCCCCTTTTCAAGTATTTGCGTGGGCTGGCGCTCCCCTATGTTATTTTACAAGTAGCGGGATCAGAATGAATACAGCAGAGTTGACATCTATGTTTTGAGGTATTATAGCAATTCCAAGGAAGTTATGGCTTGGGGCTAGTCTGACAAGACCCTGTAAAAACATTTGTCAGATATTGACTATACAGATGATCTAGCTGTTACTGCAGACACCATTACCAATGTCACAGTTCTCCTATACCTTCTAGAAAATTCTGCTAACGGTGCTGGACTCTATGATGCCACTAAAACTGAAATCACAAGCTTCAACCAGTAAGGTCATCAAACTGTCTCAAGTGACTCAATAAAATCTGTCAAATCTTTTACATACCTAGGAAGTGAAATAAATTCAGAAAAGGATGTGAAAATTTGCATAGCTAAAGCTTCGGTCGCCTTGAATAAAATGGATGTAATCTGGAAATCTGATCGACCAGACAACCTCAAACGGAGCTTCTTTCGCGCCACAATAGAGTCGGTTTTAATCTATGTTGCCACTGCTTGGACATTAACTAAAACCCTTGAGTTTAAGCTTGATAGAACCTACACTCGGATGCTAAAAGATATACTTAACATCTCTTGGGAACTATCCAACTAAATCACAGCTCTATAGAGCCATCCCTGATATTTCTACAATCTTACGCGAACTCAGAATGCGCTTTGCAGGATACTGCTGGCGAGCCAAAAATGACCTTTCGAGTGATCTACTGTTCTGAATACCTAGCCATGGTGTAAGACATGTTAGTCACCCAGCACTCACCTACAGCTATGTTGTGACCCAGAATGCCACCCTAATGACCTTCCGACCTTGATGCAGGACCATGATAGCTGGCGTGATAGACTTATGAATCTCTGAGCTAGCTTGACCGAATAAATAAAAAAAATGCCAATCACCGGTAACAGGTTGTGGTAAGAACAGTCATACGCCGGTCACTGTATTAGATGATACCTGTTTATAGCTGGCAACTGTTATCATCTGACACGGTGACTGCTCTGTAGTCGGGGGATAAACCGGCTCCCTCACTAGACCTTGCTTTGCTGATGAGGGTAAGTGGAACCCCAGCACAAAAAAAAATATGCTGTTAAAAGAAGGTCGGATGATTTTCTTCAGACTCAACGGCCATCCACCCCAGCTAAAGGTTAGATTGCCTCACCAACTGCAATTGTCCAAGCGGCTGCACCCCCGAACACAAGGGTATTCAGGGAAGGGTCCATCCAACAGTAATGAGAAGGCCCTGAATTTGAATTTGGACTTGGGCACAATAGCAACTTACTCCCAAGTGGATGCTTCCCCGATCACTTCAACGTTAACATGTTCGTCTAGGGTTAGACGGTATCCTCCACACATATTCCCATAAACTCTTACTCTGTAAATCTCTACATCGAGTGGCTCTTGAACATTGTACAATGTGAACACCATTGTAAAAAATATTTAAAATATGTCTAAAAATGCAAATATATGACTGTTGCAATTTATCTCAATCAGGCTTCAGAAAGTTAAATCATTTTACTGTCGACTTTGAGAATCACTTCAATATCCGAATGTTTCAGATTCGCATTAATTTTTAGGACAACGGTCAAGCCATTTTTACATCTATTTCCCACCCGTTAAGCAAACAGCCTTCTTCTATGTGCCACGTCCCTACAGGACATAGGAGATTATGGCTTTCCCAACTTCCTATCTCGTGTGGTTCTTAGCAGATTTTTTCGCTTTGTTAAGGCCCTCGCTCCCGGTTCCGCCACCCATTCACACAAACTCGTCAGATAAGTGACTCACTGCCTTCCCCTATCTCTCTTGCCCTCAATATGTCTCGTGAGGGTTTGGTTTCCATCGCCCTCCTTACCCATTATGTCCAATGGATTTCAGCTGTCTTTTCTTGATTCTGAGTAGTAGGGTTCTTTCTGTTGACATTTTATTTAATATTTCCTTGTTTGCTTACTCGATCCGTCCATTGAATTTTCAGCATTCTTCTGTGGAACCACACTTCTGTTGCCTCTAGTTTTTTCCTCATCCTTGCGGAAATTGTGCAGCCTTTATTGCCATATAAGAAGATGGATATCGCAAAGAAATATTTTTCTGTTTCTAACCAAACTTTTCCGTTTCTCAGCAAACAATGTCTGAAACAAAAATTCATCTTCCAAGGAGATTTGATACAGATTATTAGTTCAAATCTCATCAAGAACTTATTAGAGGGGAGACAATGAAATCAAGCATAGCTGATCATGTATGGAGAAAAAGGGTAGTCACAAACCCCTGTGGAATGAAGTAAAAATAATAAATACAGGTAAAATTTGAGAGCCAGACGTCTGAAAGAATCAATAAATATGCTAGTCTATGAGGACCTACTTAGTAGGACTAGCGTAGAAATAAATAAAATATTGAAGCCGTTAATAGAGAAATGACAACAGCAGCATCAGCATCAATATGAACAGAGACGCCTTGGTGAATGCAATCAAGCGTGAAAAGCCGCAGCAGCAGGCAGAGGGAGTTTAAGGCTTCAAGTTCTACACTCAGAATTGTCACAAGAGACAATAACCTAGTGACTTAAAGCGTTGGTTCATGAAAATGGTGATATAGTAATTGTGAGCCAAACTCCTGGCAGTACAGACTTAGGCTCGGTGGAAATAAAGACAGTATTAACTATGTAGTACTAAAACGGGATATTTACTGTAGCCCATTGTTAGGACGGACGTCATAACAAGGGAGCTAACTCACTCCCTAGAGGGGGAACCAAGTTATGCCCCTTAATCAGAATTCTCTAGGAACAGAGAAAAAAACGGATTTCGAGATGATGGTCACGCATCCTTTCATGTTCTCTGTCAGGACACAATTAATCTACTAGTAATCCACTGATCATCATTTACATCTATTGTCATCCAATAGTGAATCAGATGTATAAAGGTTTGAATTGCGTGTTCATTCTTATGTGACACAAATAAGCACACCCAGCCACACAACACCCGTTTTAATCAAGACAAAACATTTTCATGTTAACACATCCAATCAGTTAAGATCAGAAGCCTTGAGAGCCATACATGATGTAGCATCAAGGTAGCTGTTATTATCATTATTGAGTGCATCAAGCCAACAAAGTATCCAATATAGACATCATGGCGCTCAGCTCACCAGGCACATGCGTCATGGCCGAATATGCAAGATATTTAATAGGTTTTGATAAAATCAACACATAATTTTTCAGGTGTGACTCAGTTAAAGAATACTTTCAGGTTGGCTAATTATTATTATTATTATTATTATTATTATTATTATTATTATTATTATTATTATTGTTAACATATGTGCATAAGTTTTAGTAAGACAAACTTGGTATTATTAAACTCACAACGAAAAAATCTATTCAGTTACAAAATATTCTATAAACTACTGAAATTATAAGTTAATATCAATTTATCTGGTTCAAGTAGCACTCATTCATTTTGGAGATTCTAACATTAAAACTATGGAAAAACAGTCAGTCAGTGCAATACGTGACATCCCCTATCTACGATACGTGGGAGATTATGTCTCTTTAGATTCATGACTGACTATGCAGATTTGCCCGGAGGAGACTGCCGTTTCTTCCTGCGGTTGTTTGGTTACCAACCAAGTCTATAAGATCCAGTCTGTCTTGCTATTCAACCCATATTTGTGGGAGAAGAGACACGCGTAAATGAATGTAACTAACCCAACTGAAATTCGAACTCGGGACTCTGATTTCTCATTTTGAGCCGATAGCCGTTACACCTCAATACACAGTAACGTCCTTAATTATAAACTTTTGGGTGTCTATACAATAAATCGTAAAGGAGACTGAATATCTGGCATAGATAAAAGCAAAAATATATCGGTGTGATGGCGGGAAAATGCTGGCAAACAGTTCAGTTTAAAACAGACTGGCGGGATGGTGTACATGAAAATGGTAGCCGTTTCAGTAAGCTTGTTGGTTTAGTGAAATTATAGGTTTATATGAAGTCTTCGATTTAAAATAGTTTCAGTTACACAAAGGTAAAGCAATGTTTGCACTCCATTCCTTCTCGAAACTTCAAATGCAATAGCATCGTTTATAATATTCGAGATCTACTTACCTTCATTGTCTTCGAGTTTCTCCTTTGTCGATTGCACAATATATCGACGCACCAACGCTGTTAAAACGTGCTGAAAAAAAAGGCAATAAACTTAACGCCAAGAAACTTAATCTATTCTAACTAAAGGGTAATCACATCTGCTTCATTTATATTTTCAGAGTGTATCGAACACTTTTTAGTGTTACTTTTTATTGAACATAAATTTCTATATCCCTTTTGCATAGTCTATCTCAAGTATTTACAATATTCGTTCATAGTAGCCATAACAGAAATCATTTCCTTAAAAGATCTTATGTACCAAAAATATTTTCGTGTCATTGTATATTGTTGAAGTGTCTCAGATACATACTTGTGTGAATTCAAGCAGGATGTGGATCAGAATATATTCGTCGATCTCAGCGGACTTTAAACTTTTCAGTATGTGGTGTACATAGAATATTTTAGATCTCTTGTGCAAACCAAACCCATGTTTACCTTTTTGACTCTCGGACAAACCAAACCAATGTCTACCTTTTTTGATTTTGGTTCAAATCTGTCAATCATTCTGAACCTCGCGCAAAGGAAACCCATGGCTGCATTTTTAACTATCATATAAACCAAATCTGTGACTAGCTTTTTTACTTTTGCAAAATAAACCTATGTCTACCTTTTTGACTCTCGTGTAAACCAAGAGGGTCTCTCTTTGGCCCTACCCTCTTTCTGCTTTATATTTACGATCGATCCAAGAACACTCCCAGATATTTAGTAAATATATATGCAGATGATACCTTAATGTATGGGTGTACTTCCAAATATCTTAATGACAATGCCTGTCAGCTGATAAGATTTCATCTCTGTCGAAGAGACCCTAAACCTGCACCAATTCTGATGAGTAGACATACCCCACAAAAAGTTCCTTGCTTCGAATATCTACTGGATTTAAAACTCACTTCCAACCTCAAATGGAACATCGTGTATTTTAGATCTCTTGCACAAATCAAACCGGTGCTTACCTTTTAGACTTATGTGCAAACCAAACCAATGTCTAACTTTTGATTTTGGTTCAAACCAAACATATGTCAACACTTTTGACTTTCGGGAAAACCAAACCTATGTCTACCTTTCTTATTTTGTGCAAACAGACACGTCTATCTTTGAGACTCTAGCACAGTGATTGCCAAAGTGGGCCGTACCATACACCCTGTGGGAGGTTGAAAGATCCGGGGATGGCAGTGAGAAAAACATGAGCAGCCAGAGGGTGGTAGTGGTGCATCTGAAACATACCATACACCCCCCCACACACGTTCTACCTGAAGTGTATCTTGCCTTCACTTTACAGTGTATCCCATTTATATAACGACTAGCAGCATGGCCCGGCGTTGCCCGTGCTTGATTCAAAAATCGTACGACTCATACAGCAATCACTATCACTTGACTTAAAATATTTTTGCCCTTCCTTGCCTTTAAAGGAGTGCCCTTTTCCGTGCTGATGTTGCTACATGCCTTACTTCTTGCCTATCTCACACTGCGAATTTTTTCTAAGCTCTATACTAAACATTAAATCTGTTACGAAAAAAGAACTAAACAAAATGAACACAAAACGATCAACTTTAAAAAAGGATTTGTAACTGGAAAAACCGAATGAAAAAAGAATGTTAACAACAAATACTGTTTCACAACCAACCCAATTCTGAATCAGAATCAACGTGGAGTTTAAGCAAGCGAATGAGCCAATTGGAGTAAAGTGCCATGCAGATTTAAATTTTTCCCACTTGTGACGAATACAGCTATCTATTTTGCGCGTTAGCATGCTAGTTAACATTCATGTCAGTCAGTTGTTGGCTCTCACGCTGGCCAATAAAATCTTCCTGCCTATTTGTGGTAGCCAGTTATAGGCTCTCACTCTGGTCAGTAGAAAATTGCCGCAAACTACATGAAAACTATCGTAGAAGCATGAAAAAAATCGATTATTTTCACTATCGATGGGAGTTGGGAAATGCAAGGTCGGCCTTGGCCTTCCCGCTAACTTGGAGCATATGCATGTAAATTTTGATGCAAATCCGTCGAAAATTGCAGCCGTGCATTCGTTACACACACACACACACACATATTCTGCCTTTTATAGCTAGAGATTATTATGGGAAATACTAACATACTCATTTGACATTCAATGAAAGCACCAACAAAATCCAATCAAAGGTTGACAAATACCTTTTTTGCGGGGTGGGTGGCGTTAGGGTTGTGTTTTGGTACACAAGGGGTGGCAACCCCAAAAGTTTGGGAACCACTCCTCTAGCGTAAGCTAAACCCATATCTATGTTTTTTACTCCCGTGGAAATCAAACTTCTATCTTCTTGGCACTCGTGCAAAACAAATTAAATGTTTACGCTTTTGATTCTTGTGAAAATGATTCCCGTGTCTATTTTTTTGACTCTTGTGTAAACCAATCCTACATCTACCATTTTGACTCTCCTGCATTGTCTATTACTTTTCAAAATGACAAAATTTAGCATTAACTAACCTGCAAGATGCTATGATGTCATAAAACAAATAAAATGAAATGAAAAAAAAAACAAAAATAAAATGTGACTGAAAAATCTGGATGATGGTAGAGAAGAAAGATGACTTTACCTTTCTCTCGACGTAATTCAATGATTCATTGTCATCCATCCTTTTAACATCATCCTGAAAATTAGAGATCAGTTTAAAAAATTATAATAGATATGAACAATACATATTTCAAACGTTATTATAGTGAACACTTCTTATTTGAAATAGACGCCCCATTTTATATATTAAACAGTTTGTATTTCGTTTACCGGCCTGTAAATTCGAGAAAAGTAAGTAAAGAAAATGTAGCTTTATTTACAATTTTTTTCGAATGCGCAGACCAATAGACATAATACACACTGTTTGATAAATAAAATAGGGCGTCTATTTCAAATAAGAAGTTTCGACGATAATAACGTTTGAAGTAGTAAAAATCTCAGATTAAAAATAAATCCATTAAATCTTTATATATATATATATATATAATGAACTGTGACATTTTATATATATATATATATATATATATATATATATTATAAACTGTTACATTGGAACACGACAAAAACCCATATTTTTTCTGATGAAATGTCTTTAGACGTCGAAACAAATATGCATTTTTGTCGTGGTAACTTGCATGTCCCACTGTAAAAGTTTGTAATTATTTATTGCTCTTGTATTAAGTCCTTTTTTTATATTCTTTTACATTTGGATGTGTGTATGTGGAATAGATTTTTCATTTATTAATCCGACATTTTTTATTACATATATATATATATATACCGTCATCCACAGACAGACTGTTTCGCAGCTCATCAGTGTGGCTAGACATCCGGTTGCCTCCAGCTAGGGTCGAAACCCGACTGAACTAGTGTCAGTCGGAGATTCTAACCATTAAGCCATCGGCAGAGAGGAAAGTGGATTTTTAGCGTGTTTATCTTTATAAACACGCCCAGTGACCGGGAGTGACTCAATTCGCATTAGCGAAGAGTCTCGCTATATAACTATATATGATCATTTCACCCCTAGTAAGACAATAAAGCCACTAAGACGTAAGTGTTACTGAGTGTGAAAGAATATAAGAAAAAGACAACATTATTATTGAGCGAGAAAAAGTATTGTCCAAACATTAAACGCTTTCAGTATTATAAGCCACTAGTTGGGTACTTGTCGTTTCACTGGCTACAAGATAATCAAAGTTTTGAGGGTTTTTTGTCAGACAGAAAGGAAAATTAGTCGTTGCGATACAGATGTTCATTTCAAGTCATTTCAAGTTGCATGTGTATGTGTATTTTCGTGTATGCATGTATATTTTAATCCAATGACAGTACTAAAAGTATTTCTACAAAACTAAAAGAAAAACAAGAATTAAAAATAATTCCGTTTATTACCGAAAAATTTCCGAAAATTTCAATAAGATTTTATAATTATCTGATTTTTGTATGGTTTAAGAAATATACATTTTCTCTCGTTTCCAAATTCATGATTTTACTGCTCAGTAGGTGTTGTTCAGCTGAGTGAGATGGGGATACATTATTCCAATATCTTATTTCAAAATGAGTCAAATTGTGTGCATGTATACGTGCGTGTATACATTAAATGACATGTAAATCACTCACACACAACATAGATTTATGCTGGCGCGTACTACCTTCGACTGGTGGGGGAAAAGCCTGATTAGGAGCCCCGGGCAGTGCTTTGTGACCCTTGCTATCTTATCAACATTTAATTTTTTCTATGTTTATATACGTTAAAAATTAAACTAAGCACAAGTGAATATTAAAGGATGAAAAGTTTTCACGGATTTTCACATCATTCTGATCTTTTTGTTTTTTCGTCAAAATCCGTAAATTTGTTTCGTTCACGCTAACTTTAGAAAAAAGAACACTATATAAAATTCATTATTTTGTTATCCTTAATTTTGAACGTGTTAAAATTATCCAACGTTTTAACAAGAAAAATCTCGAGTGTACGTTAAAAACATTGTTGAGTTATTTAACAAGGAATGATCTATTAGGACATGTCTCTAACTTGTATCTATTTTCAATTTTTCTAGTTGAATTGTTTACTTATATCAGACATGATACACTATTGTACATTATTATGTTACAATAAAAAATTGTATTTTATATGAATACTACCCTATGACAAATATCTGTCCTTCTATATGGTAATGAATTCTGGACAATCTCCTCAAAGGAGAAGATGAAGAAGAGACTTGAAGCACCAGAAATGTGGTTCTATAGAAGGATGCTGAGAATACAAAAGAGAGCTTAACTGCTATGTAATATCAATCCTCCTATATGGAAGTGAATGCTGGACAATCTCATCACAGATGAAGAAGAGACTTGAAGCAACAGAAATGGGGTTCTGTAGAAGGATGCTGAAAATACAAAGAAAAGATAGCTTAACTGCTATGTAATATCAATCCTCCTATATGGAAGTGAATGCTGGACAATCTCATCACAGATGAAGAAGAGACTTGAAGCAACAGAAATTGGGTTGTATAGAAGGATGCTAATACAAAGAAAAGGGAGCTTAACTGCTATGTAATATCAATCCTCCTATATGGCAGTGAATGCTGGACAATCTCATCACAGATGAAGAAGAGACTTGAAGCAACAGAAATGTGGTTCTATAGAAGGATGCTGAGAATACAAAGAAAAGAGAGCTTAACTGCTATGTAATATCAATCCTCCTATATGGAAGTGAATGCTGGACAATCTCATCACAGATGAAGAAGAGACTTGAAGCAACAGAAATGGGGTTCTATAGAAGGATGCTGAGAATACAAAGAAAAGAGAGCTTAACTGCTATGTATTATCAATCCTCCTATATGGAAGTGAATGCTGGACAATCTCATCACAGATGAAGAAGAGACTTGAAGCAACAGAAATGGGGTTCTATAGAAGGATGCTGAGAATACAAAGAAAAGAGAGCTTCACTGCTATGTAATATCAATCCTCCTATATGGCAGTGAATGCTGGACAATCTCCTCAAAGATGAAGAAGTGACTTGAAGAAACAGAAATGTGGTTCTATAGAAGGATGCTGAGAATACAAAGAAAAGAGAGCTTAACTGCTATGTAATATCAATCCTCCTATATGGAAGTGAATGCTGGACAATCTCCTCAAAGATGAAGAAGAGACTTGAAGCAACAGAAATGGGGTTCTATAGAAGGATGCTGAGAATACAAAGAAAAGAGAGCTTAACTGCTATGTAATATCAATCCTCCTATATGGAAGTGAATGCTGGACAATCTCATCACAGATGAAGAAGAGACTTAAAGCACCAGAAATGGGGTTCTATAGAAGGATGCTGAGAATACAAAGAAAAGAGAGCTTAACTGCTATGTAATATCAATCCTCCTATATGGAAGTGAATGCTGGACAATCTCATCACAGATGAAGAAGAGACTTGAAGCAACAGAAATGGGGTTCTATAGAAGGATGCTGAGAATACAAAGAAAAGAGAGCTTAACTGCTATGTAATATCAATCCTCCTATATGGCAGTGAATGCTGGACAATCTCCTCAAAGATGAAGAAGAGACTTGAAGCAACAGAAATGTGGTTCTATAGAAGGATGCTGAGAATACAAAGAAAAGAGAGCTTAACTGCTATGTAATATCAATCCTCCTATATGGAAGTGAATGCTGGACAATCTCATCACAGATGAAGAAGAGACTTGAAGCAACAGAAATGGGGTTCTATAGAAGGATGCTGAGAATACAAAAAAAAGAGAGCTTAACTGCTATGTAATATCAATCCTCCTATATGGAAGTGAATGCTGGACAATCTCATCACAGATGAAGAAGAGACTTGAAGCAACAGAAATGGGGTTCTATAGAAGGATGCTGAGAATACAAAGAAAAGAGAGCTTAACTGCTATGTAATATCAATCCTCCTATATGGCAGTGAATGCTGGACAATCTCCTCAAAGATGAAGAAGAGACTTGAAGCAACAGAAATGGGGTTCTATAGAAGGATGCTGAGAATACAAAGAAAAGAGAGCTTAACTGCTATGTAATATCAATCCTTCTATATGGCAGTGAATGCTGGACAATCTCATCACAGATGAAGAAGAGACTTGAAGCAACAGAAATTGGGTTCTATAGAAGGATACTGAGAATACAAAGAAAAGAGAGCTTAACTGCTATGTAATATCAATCCTCCTATATGGAAGTGAATGCTGGACAATCTCATCACAGATGAAGAAGAGACTTGAAGCAACAGAAATTGGGTTCTATAGAAGGATGCTGAGAATACAAAGCAAAGAGAGCTTAACTGCTATGTAATATCAATCCTCCTATATGGAAGTGAATGCTGGACAATCTCATCACAGATGAAGAAGAGACTTGAAGCAACAGAAATGGGGTTCTATAGAAGGATGCTGAGAATACAAAGAAAAGAGAGCTTAACTGCTATGTATTATCAATCCTCCTATATGGAAGTGAATGCTGGACAATCTCATCACAGATGAAGAAGAGACTTGAAGCAACAGAAATGGGGTTCTATAGAAGGATGCTGAGAATACAAAGAAAAGAGAGCTTAACTGCTATGTAATATCAATCCTCCTATATGGCAGTGAATGCTGGACAATCTCCTCAAAGATGAAGAAGTGACTTGAAGAAACAGAAATGTGGTTCTATAGAAGGATGCTGAGAATACAAAGAAAAGAGAGCTTAACTGCTATGTAATATCAATCCTCCTATATGGAAGTGAATGCTGGACAATCTCCTCAAAGATGAAGAAGAGACTTGAAGCAACAGAAATGGGGTTCTATAGAAGGATGCTGAGAATACAAAGAAAAGAGAGCTTAACTGCTATGTAATATCAATCCTCCTATATGGAAGTGAATGCTGGACAATCTCATCACAGATGAAGAAGAGACTTAAAGCACCAGAAATGTGGTTCTATAGAAGGATGCTGAGAATACAAAGAAAAGAGAGCTTAACTGCTATGTAATATCAATCCTCCTATATGGAAGTGAATGCTGGACAATCTCATCACAGATGAAGAAGAGACTTGAAGCAACAGAAATGGGGTTCTATAGAAGGATGCTGAGAATACAAAGAAAAGAGAGCTTAACTGCTATGTAATATCAATCCTTCTATATGGCAGTGAATGCTGGACAATCT